CAGGATTATTCTATACTTCCAGTCATAATATGAGAGATCAGTTTTTTGTGGTTTTATTAATTGCGTTTGTTTGAAATATGGTTGCCAATCCTCTGTTTTTAATCTGTAGTTATAATCAATATACGCAGATATTTGCGATTGAGCTCTAATGTATCGAATAAATATTATAGTATTCAATTCGTCAGATCTGTTTGCCTCTTCTCGAAGTGCCAATTCATACAATAGAGGATCTTTTATATCGATATATTTTGAACATAGATCATACGGATTTTCTTGTAGGTATACATATCTTTTTACGAATTTTATGCGTTTATAAAAAGCATTTTCTTTCAATATTCCCTTGGTATGGTAGCCTAATTCAATAATTTTTCGGGACATTGATTTGCTTCGTAAGTGATAAAGATCTCTGGCTCTTATGAACGAGTCCAAGTAATCTTCATAATTATTGTATTTTAATAATTTTTTATCATCCAAAATTTGACGTTCGCTATTAGACATGATTTACTTAAAACTTTAGATATTTATTTCATGAAATATAGATATGTTAAATTTGATTTTTAAATAACAACTGAATATTAATAGATACATTCATACGATATATCTATAATATAAAACGGCACATATTTATTCAGATAAATGAAAAATTTTCTTTTTTTCTTATACAAAATTATTATTATTAGCGTTTAATTATTATCATTATTGTTTTCAGGATGAAAAATTAAGAATAGAATCTTTAGGAGGAGAAGTTATCTTTCATGGTTCGTGGAGGGTTAATGGTATTTTAAATATTTCAAGATCATTAGGTAAGTATAATAATCAAATTTTGTCATAATTAAACTAAATTTTTTAATAAATTATGTTTTTAATTGCGTAATTATTATAAAATAATGTTAATAGTACAATTTTCATGTCCATGTATGTATGTATGCTATAATATTGAAATATCTTTGATTTTCAAAAAATATTCTTTAAATCTGTTTAATTGAATAAAATTAAAAATTGTAAGAGCTACTTATTATACATTTATTTATATAAATCATTATTGAATAAGATATATTGTTAAAAAAAAAAAAAAAAAAAAAATTGACATTGTTGTAGGAAAATATTTTTATAAATAGTAGAGAATATAAATTGCTTTTATTTTAAAAAATAATTACGAAAATTACAACTATCGTATAATCTAATTTATATAATCATTTATATTGTGTAGCTAATCGCATTTTCAAATATCATAATCGCATCGATGATTTCAAGATAATGAATAGATTATTTTTTCTAATATTTTCTAATCGGTAATTGTTTCAGAATTTTTTATTTAAAATTCGTAAACACGATGAAAGAACATTTTTATTTTGAAATTAAAATCTTTATCTTTCACGTCTATAAAAATAGTTTTAATTTAGACGTCAATATTTTTTTCAAATATTTTAATGCAATTAAAGATAAAAAAACTCTAATGTATTTTTTTTTAATTATTAAAACGGTCAAAATGATAGTAAATCACAAATATTCACATTATTAAATATTGCATCGTTATAATTTATTATTTGAAAATTTATTAAAACAATACGAAATATTTAAAAATCACGGATGAGTATTTATGGATTATTATTCAGGTATTAGTTAAAACTATAATATCTACTTTGTTTTCGTAATGTATAAATAATGTTATTATTATATTATTGTCATTGTAAAGAAAGGACTATCAGTTTTGTATTAGTAATTCACCAAAATAATGTATAACCATTTAACAAACCATTTAAATAAGTAATTAGCTTTTGATAAAATATATATATATATACGTGTTCGAACGTTATAACGTTTATCATTGTTTATTATATAAAATTTGAATTAAGAATGCAGATTGTCAAGATATAAAATCAAATTTTAAACACAAATTATTTAAACGATATTTTAAAGAACGTATTCGAGTCGCTTAAAGAGTAGAAATAAATATGGAATGTAAAATAGTCGTAGGTGTGAAATGAGTTTCTTAAAGAAAATAAATTATAAAGGTAAAAAGAAAAGTTATATAGCGTATGTATAGAATAGTCTGTAACACACATATCCACGTACCCACAGGTGTTTGTTGCGTGGATTATTGATGTTGAAGAAACTTGTGGAGTCCACGGACGTTCAAAACTGCCCTGGGACACTGTGGTACAATTTAATATTTCGAATACTGATTAGACCAGTTGATATTGTTTTCGCGAACGGGCGCGGATGGGTCGTTTCAACGTCCTTACACTTGTGCGCCTCGAATGCAATAAGGAAAACTGTATATCAGCACTGACAGTTGATTGCATCGACTATACTTTTTGTACAACGAACGTCGACTTGCCGGTAGATGGCGATCCCGTTAAGTTTTAATATTGATCCCTTTCAACAATTTAATTTCAAATTCTTCTTTCCATGTCAAGCTATTATTGTTTGTTTTCTTGTATTTTATTTTATTCTTTAAAAGAATAGTTAAGAAAATGATTAATAAAATTAATTTAATGCATGTGATGATGGATTATTTATTGATGTAGCATGGGCATTATTCAAATCAGTAGAAAGCGATAGAAAGTAATAATATATCTTTCGCTTTACGAAATTTGCAATCAAAATATTTGAAAATGTCATTAAAATCATGCTTATTGATAGTTTACTTTATATATATATATATATATATATATATATATATATATATATATATATATATATATATATATATATATATATATATATATATGTATGTATAGGTTTAAGTATTGGTGTATATGCTATTAATAATAGCATCATCAAAACAAGTAGTTATTAAATGCTATTTTATAAAGTATTTGGATTTATTTTTTAAGCACGTTACATGCAAGTTTAATAATAAAAATGTTAATGATCGATTAAAAAATTGTAAAATCTTTATAAAATGTCAATCAGTTATTATTCACGTGTTACACGAATATTTAATGGTAGTTTCTTGGTTTGCTCCATTTTTAATATTCAAGAAATTTTTTCATACCATTGTTGCATTTCAAAACTTCATTCTGAAAACGCGAGCACTTTCCCGTGTGCTCCATCTGTTGTTTTTACACTTCGATGAATTCTGTAACAAGAACTGCACCACTGTACGTATTGCCCATGATATATATATATATATACACTTCGCAATAAAAGTAAATTGTTTGAAAGTAGATAAATTGATGATTATATTAAAAAAATAACATTTTGTGAACAGTTGTTTACAATGGCATTTGTAATAAATCGATTTACATAAGCTTCGAACAATAGGCAATACGTATATTGGTTTTATAGGAATGCTATATTACTATCTATATTAAGTGGAAACTGATATAATCTTTGAAATTTCAATGAACGTAAAATCTTATTTGACAAGGCATATAATAATAAGTTCTTTGTTCTAGAAAATTGTGCACATATATTTTATGTTTAAATGTAATTCATAAATAAGCATCGAAAACAATATGATTCGACAATGTGTTGTACATAAATATTAAACGGGTATACAAAGTTGTATCATTATTATATACAAAAGTCACTTTCGACCATTCCTCATCAATGATATAATTATTTAAATTAATATAAAGTGTTGGTCTCCTTTCGAATGAAGTTAAAGTGTAATAGCAAAATCACTTATTTTCATTGTATCGTTAAATACAATTTTAATAAAATTTCCTTTTCCACTTATTACGGATAATTAATTTAATAAAATATCCTTTTCAGAATTATCCTGCTTAAATTGCAATTTAAATTTCACCTAAACTAAAATCTCATGTATTCTAGTATATTATTTTCAGGGTTGCCTATTACAAATATGCTAGTAGAATCTTAAAACATGAAACGATCCATTACAAATTGCTAGGCCATTAATTTCAGTCGTTGTGCGAATAATTCATTGTCTTTAATTTCAATATCCATCGATAATTTAGAAAAATTATAACTCGAGCTCAAGGGATTTTATTAAAATAATAGCAAAATAAGTAAAGTACTCGTAACTGGCAAAATTACTCTCCGTATAACAATTTTGCACCTTATAACGGAATCCTCAGAAAGTTACAACCCGAATGGGCATTTATGGCTTCCAACAACATTGTAATCCGTTGTATAAATAACGAATATTATCGTGGTAAGTT